TTTAAGAGTTCTAACCCATGTAGTCTCTGTCGCAGTTCTGGGGGTGAAACAGCACTTGGGAATAAGGCACCGGAAGAGGAACCAGCCTCTGGAAAATTAAATTCTTTTCCCTGGGGTATTATAGATAAATCTTGACCAAATATGTTACTTTGAGGACCTTTGTCATCTTTCATAAAAATATTACAAAGAAAAGGATTATTACTTTCAAGTTCCCCTTGAGGAAGAGAGGAGCTAAGTGTATTTACAACACCATGCTTTTTCCATACAGAAGGTCTTACAGGACCATCATCAATAAGGTTTTGAGCCAAATGTTTGGATATACTCAATTCTCGTGTGATTTCATTGTGAACTTTGCTAGCTTCTGAAGCTTTCTGGGCAGTGAGTGTTTTTAATGTATCTACAGTGAGGGCTGAAAGATCTTGCAAATGGCCAATTTGAGAATCTAATGACTGTAATGATCTTTTTATGTAGTTGACGCGATCTCCAACTTCTTTAATCTGAATGCACATCTGCTCCACTCTGTAGAGGAGAAACAGGCTTTTTATAAACATTAAAAATTAAAGTAGAAATTCTTTTTTGTAGTCTCAAATAATAATGGTAAAAAGAGAAAAATTTTACATGCACTCAAACAAGAGAAGATATAAAATAAGGTATGGTTATTTATTTATACAAAGCATACCTTATGTTTAAAAATGATCTAGTGCGAATCCTATCATACTAAAATGTAAGATTTCTAAAAACACTTTTGTTCCACAGGTTATTTATTCCTATTTCCCCACATCAAAGTAACACAAAAAAATGTGTATATAGCTACATATACATAGAACTACCACTATTACCCTTACTGTAACTACACAAACACCATACGCTTCCAGAATGTAGCAAAGCCAATGGAAAGAAAGATATGCTTTAAAATAGTGAGGATAGTTTTACTTTTCTCCCTCCAGATAGTAAAGAACATTAACTCTTTTATCTTCTGTAACTAGGGTCAAAAAATAAGAGACTGACTTACTGACTTACACAAAATATTAGAAGACTTGAACTGTTTTCCCAATATATAAGGTGTAATTATTACTAAACTTATTCACTCTACAAAACAAACTGAATAATGACCATGTATAAGAGACATAACTAAGAGATCCCATTTTGACATATAATCAGTTTTAACTAAAGGGCTTCAGAACCTTTCAAAAGTGACACGGATTCTCTCTTCACTCCCAGAATGGAATTTGTCATCTTTTTCATTAAAATACATCTCAACACAAAGCTCTTCAAAATCATGAAGCTTCTTTTGATCTTCTTCTGTTAGGAAAAGTTCTAAGGGAGGGAAAAGAAAGAAAAAGTCAACAAAGAGCTAACAAGCTTTTAAACGTTAGCTCATACAACTTGTGAATTACTCAGGGCTTGTAAAACAATACTCATCATCTGAATTTTTTTTCTTTTTATTGTTTTGCTTCTAAAGCATTAGCGAAGTATCTTTGTTTTTTCCACTTGCAGTGTGATGTCAACAGAATACTTTCACATACTTTCTCTTCTTCTAGTTTCCTTTCCCTATACAACAGTCCTCCCCATCTCTCTTTTTTTTTTTTCTTTTTTCTTTTTTTGAGACAGAGTCTCACTATGTTGCCCCAGCTAGAGTGCCGTGGCCTCATCCTAGCTCACAGCAACCTCAAACTCCTGGGCTCAAGTGATCCTCCTGCCTCAGCCTCCCAAGTAGCTGGGACTACAGGCATGTGCCACCATGCTTGGCTAATTTTTTCTATATATTTTTTGTTGTCCGATTAATTTCTTTCTATTTTTAGTAGAGACAGGGTCTCGCTCTTGCTCAGGCTGGTCTCCAACTCCTGAGCTCAAACAATCCGCCCGCCTCAGCCTCCCAGGGAGCTAGGATTACAGGCGTGAGCCACCGCGCCCGGCCATCCCCATCTCTCTCATACTTTTCTCTCACATATCTGGTCAGAGGAATTTAAGAACTTATTTGGTAGAATAGAAAGACACTGTAAAATTTTAAGCACAACTTGACATGGTGATTAATCTTATGTAGTATACAAAATGTACTAAAACTGTTATTGTTTACAGAACAGCAAAAATGGTTTGTATGATGGCAAAAAGAGTTACCATTTTAACAAAGACAAACTGAGATGCCATTCTCAAAAGGAAGTTTAATACTAAACCTACTTTTATTGATTATCATATTACACTGAAAAATTCCTTTCTGGGCCAGGTACAGTGGCTCACGCCTGTAATCCTAGCACTCTGGGAGGTTGAGGTGGGAGGATTGCTTGAGGTAGGGAGATGGAAAGCAGCCTGAGCAAGAATGACACCTTGTCTCTACTGAAAATACAAAAATTAGCCAGGCGTGGTGTCGTGTGCCTATAGTCCCAGCTACTCGGGAGGCTAAAGCAGGATTGCCTGTACCCAGGAGTTGGCAGTTGTAGCAAGCTATGATGATGCCACCACAGTCTAGCCAGAGTGACAGAGTGAGACTGTCTCACAAAAAAAAAAATTCCCTTATGTTTAGGCAAATTTAACAAAAGCCTTTATAACAACATTAACCAACTAAATCTTCTGAATGAAATCAATACACAGCCTTCAGTTTAATACTGAGAAGTGATAAAATGATAATATTTGCCTTAATATATTTTACTCACTTGGTCCATTAGAAGTCTTATCTTTCTTTCTTCTTTTACATACGCAGCAAAACAGAGAAACTATATGGCTAAGAATGATAAGTGGAGGAGGCAGAACTGGTTTCTCATGATAAGCCATGATAAAATGGTAACGTTGGTACTTCCATACAATATTGGAAATTGCCTTCACTTGTAAATACACATTGCTAGAATCATAAATAAAAAACAAACTTAGGTAATCATATCTTAAAGTTTTAAATACTAAAGACTTTATTGAATTCTGCACTAAATAAGGATCAAAAGAGTACCCTTCCATAAATTAGACTAAAAGCAAAGGGGAACTGGAAAAAATACATTTAAGAAATATAAGGCAAAAAAGTTGATATTGTTGAAGACCTTAATCACAACTTCCCCAAAAATGGGCAGAAAAAATGATTTTATGATTTAAAAAGTTATATATAAATGAGTAAAACATAACAAACAGTCAATATTAGTAACAATAGAATAAGTGCAAATAAAAACAAAATCCTTTTATGTCCTATCAAATTGGCAGCTATTAAAAAAAATACCTAGTGTAGGCAGGGGGTTGAGGGCACAGGCCTATTTTGAGTTAAATGCAAAAAGCCCTAAAAGTACATATACCAAACAGTTCTACATTAGGAAAACATTCTAAGGAAATACTTAAGTATTGTTCAAAGATTTGGCCACAATGTGGTGTTTGGGAGTAAAAATTACAATCTAATTGAGCAATATGATACATTGGCCTGAAAAATTATGGTCTCATATGGCCATTTCGGGAGGCTGAGGAGGACTGCCTGAGTCCAGGAGTTTGAGGTTGCAGTGAGCTATGATGACACTAGCGCACTCTAGCC